GCTCTTTAGCTCAAGGCTAGCGCTCTACCTCTTGAGCCACAGCGCCACTTCTGGCTTTTTTCTTTTTGCTTATGTGGTGCTGAGGAATGGAACCCAGGGCCTCAGGCATGCAAGGCAAGCGCTCTACCACTGAGCCACCTTCCCAGCCCCGAGACCCAAGTTTTTAAGGTAGATATCACAGCACTTGATTGTATGAGAGAGAAAGTACAGCCAACTAGTTTGCATTTGATGTATACTGATTTAAGACAGCTAAATGCCAGTGAGAGCCAGATGCTGCAATTCAAGTATATGTGTGTGTGTGTGTGTGTATGCATTCTGTCTATCTATCAATCATCTATATGCTATCTATTGCAGCCAGATGCTGCAATTCAAGTATATACATATATGCTATCTATGCCAGTGAGTATAAATTTTTCTTAAACATAGAAGTGAGAGGGGCTGGGAAGTTGGCTCAGTAGTACAATGCTTGCCTTGCATGCATGAGGCCCTGGGTTTGATTCCTCAGTACCACATAAGAAGAAAAGGCTGGAAGTGACTCTGTAGCTCAAGTGGTAGAGCTGAAGGACAGTGCCTAGGCCCAGAGTTCAGGCCCATGACCAATTAAAAAAATAAAAAATAAAAAGAAATGAGACTAGCTCCTGATTTACCCATCACTATATGGCCAGGCCATGCAACAAATGTCCAGAAGTAGTTGTTGAATGGATAAATGACTAAGTTAATATATCTAGACCCATTTCAGAGGAACAGAGGGAACATTAATCAGCATCAAAAGATTGCAACAAATTAAACTTAAAACACACTTAGGAACTTGTTACTCTTCCATCACCTGCCTTTATGTGATGTTGGGGATCCGGTTAGTCATGTAACACCTACAAGCAGGACCATCGCGTATGAATGCAGGGAACTCATTAGAACTAGCCCACTCTGGTGAGCAGCCACTGCTGCAGTTAGAGTGGATGCTGTCCGTGGAAGCGAGCCCATCTGTGACTCAGATTTGTCAAGTTGCCAACAAGTCATTTTTTACTGGTATCTTAGATTATGTGCAGTTTCTTAGGATTTAATTTTTATTTATTTTTGTTGTTATTGATGGTGGTAGTGGTCATGGGGCTTGAACTTGAGGCCTTTTGAGCTTTTTTGCTCAAGGCTAGTGCTCTACCACTTTGAGCAATAGTGCCACTTCTGTTTATCTGGTGGTTAATTGAAGATAAAAGTCTCACGAACTTTCCTGCCCAGGCTGACCTCAAACCACGATTCTCAGATCTCAGACTTTTTTTTTCTCTTTTTCTTTTGTCAGTTGTGAGGCTTGACCTCTGGGTCTGGACATCGTCCCTGAGCTTTTCAGCTCAAGGCAAGTGCTCTACCACTTGAGCTATGTGCCACTTCTGGTTTTCTGGTGGTTAATTGGAGATAAGAGTTCCTCGGACTTTCCTGCCCAGGCTGGCTTGAACAGTGGTCCTCAGATCTCAGCCTCCTGAGTAGCTAAAATTACATGCTTGCTCCACCAGCACTTGGGCAGCTCTCAGACTTCTGAGTAGCTAGGATTATAAGCGTGAGCCTCCAGCACCCAGCTTGAATTTAATATTAAGTCCTAGTATTTAACCTTTGTTAAAGATTTAAAAATAATAATAAGATGAACTCTGCATTAACAAAATTTTACTTTTAATATAGATGGTCCTCCCAAGTGACAGTGATGCAAACTTGGGATTGTGTGTGTGTGTGTGTGTGTGTGTGTGTGTGTGTGTGTGTGTGTGTGTGTGTGTGTGTGTGTGATGGCTTGAAAGCAACAGTACATCAGTGGACACTCTACTTCAAATTTTGATCTTTTCTCGGGCTAATGGGACTAGCTGGTATGATCGTGGCACAGTGCCCAACTATAGCTAATGCAAATGACCTGAACATGTGTAAGTAGGCTAAGCCATAGTATTTGGTAGGTTTGATGTATTAAATGCACTTTGGGCTTTCAAGCTTTTCAGTTTATGATGAGCTTATTAGAACATAACCTCATTGTAAGTCTAGGAGCCTCTCTCCTTAGAAATAATCTCTGGTAACATCAATAATTAATTTTATCCTTTTTATCTATTCTGGGGACAATTAGTCTAGACTAAATACATAAAAGAAGACTTACAGAGTTGATTATTTAAGGATACATTTTCTTTTTATATTGGACTATGTAAGTTCCTTGTGTCACATTATTATATTTTAACTCTCTGATATAATTGCCATATGTGAATTATAGAACCTGAAGTTGACCATATGGTCTATAAGTACCAATTCTTGGCTTTTTTGGGTATCAGGCAGACTAAAATAATACTCTCATAATATCCCTCTTACCATTCACCACTACAAAAAAGACACAATTGACCTGATCACCAGAGTTCATGCCTTTAATGCTAACTACTTTGGAGATGGAGATTAGGAGGACTGGTTCAAGGGCAGCCCAGACAAAAATTTGCAAGATTCGTTGCAGTGCTGTGTGATTGTCATACCAGTTACCAGTGTCTAGCCTGGATAAAAATCAAGGCCCTATCTAAAACTGATCAGCGCAAGAAAGGCTGGAGGCATGGCTCAAGTACTAGAATACCTCCCTGGCAAACAGGAAGCACTGACTTAAAACAAAATCAAAAACAAAACTTGGACCCATGGAACAATTCTGTGCTTTCTATTGCCATGCCTATCACAGCAGAAGACTCCACTATAACAGAAGACTGGACAGGAAACATAATTATATGCTCAGGTCAATGGTACTGACTGTATGTCTTAGGGAAAATATAAACAAAATCAAGAGGGTCTAGAATCATGTTAAAAAAATACATTTGGGGCTGGGTGCCAGTGGTTCATGCCTATAATCCTAGTTACTCAGGAAGCTGAGAGCTGGGGATTGTGGTTTAATGCCAGTCTGGGCAGGAAAGTCCATGAGACTCTTATCTCCAATAAGCCACCAGAAAACTGGAAGTAGCATAGTGCCTAAAGTGGTAGAGCACTTTCCTGGAGCTGAAGAGCTAAGGGACAGCACCCAGGCCCAGAGTTCAAGCCCCATGGCCAACAACAACAAAAACCATTTGGGAATTTTAGCTTAGTGGCAATGAACCTGCTTGTTATGCACAAGGCCTTGGGTTTAATCTTTAGCCAAAATACTTTCAATAAAGGATTATTGGGAGATTCTTGTGATATAATTAATATAAAACACTTAAAAGGCATGAAACTATTTAAATGGAAGTAAGAGTAGACTATCCGAGAAGTGTTTATGGATAAAAGTACACAGATAAGAATTATGGAGGCTAGGAATGTGGCTTAGTGGTCGAGTACTTGCCTAGCATGCATGAAGCCATGGGTTCAATTCTTCAGTACCATTTAAACAGAAAAGGCCTGAAGTGGCACTGTGAACCAAATGGTAGCATGCTAGCCTTGAGTAAAGGAAGCTCAAGGACAGTGCCTGAGCTCAAGCCCCAGAACTGGCAGAAAAAAAAAAAGAACTATGGATTCAAGTTAGGAAGCTCAGGAAAAAAGTAGTATGAATTGGGATAACAGATGCTGTGTGATCACTCCAGACCGGGCAAGACCTTGAAACACTTTACAGAGATTCTTCTGGCAACCGTTCCTATGGATTAAAGCATGGAAAAGCTTCAGAATTAATGGGATCACTATTTTAGATCTTGGACAAGAAGTTATCATAACAAATGAGAAATGCATGTACAAATTCAGTGATACCTTAGCCAGGAAGTTCTCTAAGAAGAGAAGGCAGCTCTTCTTTAAGTCTGTTGTGTTTTGTTTTTTTAACTTCATAAATCATGGGAAGCTGTGTTGTCTGTAGACTATAACTCAATAGTAGACAGATTTCTCTTCATTGCTTTCTTTTAAGAAGCAGATAATAAAACTGTTGGAAGCCTGGTTGAATAAGTTAATAGATCATTTTAAGCAATTTGAAGGATCTTTTTTTTAATACTGCCTTGTATTTTTAAGGCAAGAGACAGGAGGGGAAAAAATTAAGTGAGTTACAAATCAGTACAGCCTCTGATTTTTCACCTATATAGGCCTGCCATGTACTCTGTATCCTCGGTGGCCAGTTTCCTGCCTGTGTGGGAGAGTCCCCTTCTGGCCCCTACAGTAGAGGGTAATGCTTCAGGATGGTACAAAGTACTCATCAGTACAGCATTGTAATACTTCTTTTCATTAAAGCAGTTTTGTGCAGCCGAGAGCCAGTGGCACATGCCTGTAATCCTAGGTACTCGTGTGGCTGAAATCTGAGGATAGGGGCTCAAACCCAGCCAAGGCAGTAAAGTCCATGAGACTCTTTTCTGCAATAAAACTATCCAGGTGAGGGCTGGGAAGGTGACTCAGTGGTAGAGCGCTTGCCTTGAGCACAAAGAGACCCAGGGGCAGTACCCAGGCCCTGAGTTCAAGTCCCAGGACCGGCAAACCAACCAAACAAACCAAAACAGTTCTGTGCTTTTATTGGTTTTTACATTCTAAAATATTTCATGTCCTGCTAGTACAGTTGACGGTAAACTTCAGATGCTGCAGGACAAGGCTAGAAGGGGTTGTCATTTATGAGTCTGCCACCATTGAGACCCAGTTGTAAGGAAGATGTTAGGCGTCAGGTAGGCTGGAGGTCTGCGCAGAATAAATGACTGCACTGAAGTGTCAGGATCATAGAAAGATCTCTGGCCTGGAAGTAGTTCAGATTAGCAGATAACTATCACTTGAAAGGTGATAAGGAGCCATCTACTAATGGCTTTCTTTTCATCTCTGGACATCATCCCCCAGAGCTCTTGTGTTACACTCTTGTTGGTCATGGCTTATAATAGGCATGTCATGCCAATGACATGGTACTAGGTTAACCAGACACTTAAAGAATCTTCTCTTTTTGATCATGGAAAATATTTTTAAATGAATTAGGAAATGTAACATTGTGTATGGGTCAGAGTTTGTGCTGTGATCTTGGAGTCTAAAGGATACACATGATGTCACTTCTAAAACTTGAATCTAAACTTTTCTTTCAGACCACGAAAGCCTTTCTTCCAACAATGCTGGAGATTAATCATGGTCACATTGTGACAGTTGCAAGTTCCTTGGGATTGTTCAGTACTGCCGGCGTTGAGGTTTGTCACATATTAAGCATTTCCTCACTATGTTTAACTTGTTATGGATACATCACAGAAATATCACACACTTGAAAAAGTTCTCTGCTGGCATGGTATGTGGATGACATTTCCTAGTAACTCAGGAATCGCTGGTAAAATGAAACGACTCTACCTCTTAAAATCACCTATGGTAGTTAAGCAAAACAACAATGCAAGAGAAGGGCCAGTGTGCACCATGCAGCCTCACACAATGATGGTGAAGACGCAGGGTCATGAATACAACCATGGAGAGACATGAAATAAGGCCAGAGATTTTTTATTTTTTTTTTAATCAGTCAGGAGGCTTGAACTCTGGCCCTGGGCATTGTCCCCAAACTCTTCAGCGCTCTACCACTTAAGCCATAGAGCCACTTCCAGCTTTCTGGTGGTTAATTGGAGATAAGAGTCTCACAGACTTTGCTGCCTGCGCTGGTTTTGAACAATGATCCTCAGATCTCAGCCTCCCGAGTAGCTAGGATGAGATTCACATTTTGTTTTGATTAACCTGCCAGAAAATGAGCTCCTTTTATTAATTCATCAGATAAGGTGCTTATGGCCAATGTCAGGTGCCCCGCACTGTAATTTTGTAAACTGGGTTTCATCGAACCCTTTCTTAGCCATATTCATGTGATGTGTGTATGCATATACTGTTCTTGCTGTGAGCCCTGTGGATGCATATACAATTGAAAACAACATCATGCATATGTATAAAAGGACACTGAATAAATGGATTTATATTTCTATTCCCAAACTTTAAATTGAGTCATAGGCAATTTTTTTTCTCGATTTCATGTGTCCTTAGATTTAGCTGTAGTTTAGTTTACATGGTATGGTTATTATTTTTTTCATTTTAGCTTTGCTCTAAAAAGAAAGTAACATCATAATAACTTATAATCTGAGGTAGAATTGTCTTTGTTCTTCTTGCACTAATTTAAGCAAACAGGTTTTTCAGTCTCCTTTACTAAACAAGAGCCTATTTGTAAATTTTCCAGGCACATCAAAGTGAACTTTTCTGTATTTTTAACTTCAGCCTGTTAGCTTTCATAGAGTCCTTTGTGGTAACTTCCTAAAGTAATGTGATTCTTAGTTGATGTGGCAAAAAAAATGTTCCTCTGTTTCTGCTGTTGCTTTCAAAATATTCTTTCTGCACTGAACCACATCAGATATATGTCTTTTAAAATGGCTTCTTTTTCTTCACTTGTTACCTGTAACCTTCTATTGCTCATATCTACCCATTTGAACCAGGAAAGGCTTCAGGTGGTTTGGGGATTTGTACATGCATTTAGCATTTCTGTTCTCTCTCTCCACTCATTCAGGATTACTGTGCCAGTAAATTTGGAGTTGTGGGTTTTCATGAATCACTGAGCCATGAGCTAAAAGCTGCAGAAAAGGATGGAATTAAAACCACCTTGGTTTGCCCTTACCTTGTAGACACTGGCATGTTCAGAGGCTGCCGAATCAGGTGAGTGGGAACCTATCTTGTTTTTGATCAAATAATATTGGTAGAAGGTGTGCAAGTGGACCATCTGTTGGTCTTTCATTTTAACTAGCATTTGTCAATTAACTTGTGGTTTTTATTGTTCAAGACTCATAAAACTGATATATAACATATATGTGTGTGTGTGTGTGTGTATATATATATTTACCAAAGTAGTAACATGCTCATAATAACTTGCAAAAATTAATTCAGAAACATCAGGTAGGAAGTGGCTTTGAAAAAAATAGAAGAAGCTGCATCCTTTTGTTTCTTTAGTATTCATGTTTTCAAGTAAGGACTCGAAAAGAAAAGTCCTTGATGTGATTTTAGTTTGGATATGAAACGATGTCATTGTCACAGATGAGCAAGCAATATGCCTTTTTCTAAAAAGAATTTAAATATCATACTCCAGATTTGGAAACTACTTTTGTTGCAGCAAGTGTATATAACTAGATTCATTCGGACAGAATGAGAAGAACCATTTAGATTTACTAAAAATGAAATGAAATACCCACACACTTAGAAAGGAGGCATATGGGAATATAACTGCCAAGTGACATCTCACTTGAGCTCACATAATAAACACAGCCATGAATCATTAAGAAGATAAGTGTTGAAGCCATGCTGACTTCCTTTATAAGGCAAAGGAAGGTAACCAACCAGTTCTCTGATGACTGTGACCATTCTTAACACAAACAGAACCAGGCAAATGGTCAAGGAGGGAGAGGATAATTTAAGGCATTCCAACCTTAGGCCAGCACCAACTCTGGATTGAGACATGAAGTCTTAAGGCTAAGGAGGTAGCTCAAGTGTGGAGCACAGACTTAGAGTTAGCCTGTGTGAGGCCATGGTTTGATCCCCAGAGAAATGACCTCTAGTTCTGCCTCTTGACATGCACCTGTAGGTTCCATGGGTCCCTGGGAATGTGTTAGCTCCATTTTTTAAATTCCTCTCAATGTGTGTTGGAACCACTTGCTAGGGTTCGTAGGAGCTCTGCTTCCTATTTAACAAAACGGCAGATGCAGGCATCCAAAGCTGTGGTAGGATAATGAAGAGTGAGGAGTAGGCTGCAGTTTTATTATTTAACATGGAAGTTAATGGACCAGTTGATGGCAGCTTTTGTGTGCCCTTCATCTTAGAGGGTCCTAAAAATTTACTGTAGGTTTCCCTAATAAGCCATCCTAAATAATTGGAATTGTTAACTACCCTGGAAAAGGTTATGGCTTAACTCTACGCAATACTAAAAACTTCACTTAAGGTTTGTTAGAAAACCTCTTGAAGCATTTTAAAAACATGATTTTCTCACTTTACACAAAAGCGAGCCAATTTTATTTTTTCCTTACTTCCTTTCCAGATGATGCAAATAAAATGTGTTCATAGTAGGAAAATTAGCACCATAAAGAAAACAATATTCTCCAAGTCCTTCCACTCAGATAATGTCACACTTATTATTTTAATGTATTTTCAACATTCTCAAGGTATATATTATATATATTTTATATATACATGATATATAATACATATATTATTGAACATCTTTTAGGAAAGAAATCGAGCCTTTTTTGCCCCCTCTGAAGCCTGATTACTGTGTGAAGCAGGCCATGAAAGCCATTCTCACCGACCAGCCCATGATCTGCACCCCGCGCCTCATGTACATCGTGACCTTCATGAAGAGGTAACTAGGAGGGCTTTCCTCATTGACCAGATACTTCTTGCCTAAGGTCTTTATACAACTAGCATTTAACAGTGCTTTTGCTGTAATGTTTCTATGGATAAACATCATGTATTTTAATCAAACCCATCTCTAACACTCCCCCTGACCTCCCTGGCCCTTCTAGGAATACTTTCAACAGATTTCATTATTCTATTTTCATATGTTTATAAAATATTTCAGCCATATTCACAGTCCTATGCCCTTTTCTTTTGCCCTCCAGCTAGTACCCTCCCCTAAACAGAACCTGTTTTACATTCATTCTGTTTTACATTCATTTACTGTTCATTTTGTTTTATGGCATTGGGATTTGAACTTGAGGATCCTTGGTGCTTGCTAAGCAGGCACTGTACCAGTTGAGCTACAACCCAATCTTCTGTCTTTGGTTTGTTTTTGGTTTTTGGGTTTTTTTTTTTTTTTTTTTTTGGTTGTTTTTTTTTTGGTCGGTTGTGGGGCTTGAACTCTGGGCCTGGATGCTGTCCCTGAGCTCTTCAGCTCAAGCCTAGCACTCTAACACTTAAGCCACAGCACCACTTCTGGTTTTCTGAGTGGTTTATTGGAGATAAGAGTTTCACTGACTTTTCCTGCCCAGGCTGGTTTTGAACCGCGATCCTCAGATCTCAGCTTCCTAAGTAGCTAGAATTACAGGTATGAGCCACTGGCGCCTGGCTTGTCTTTGGTTTTCAAGGACTGGATTCTTCATGTAAGGAAGAACATGTGACAGATTTCTCAGTCTGGCTTACTTTACTTAGTATGTAGTTACTTCCATCCATTTTCCTGCAAATGACATGATTTCACTCTTTATGACTAAGGGTCTATATTAATGTAAGTTTCGGGGTTTGCTAATTGTGACTTTCCTTTTCAGCATCCTACCTTTTGAAGCAGTTGTGTGCATGTATCGGTTCCTAGGAGCAGACAAGTGTATGTACCCCTTTATTGCTCAAAGGAAACAAGCCACAAACAATAATGAAGCAAAAAATGGAATCTAAGAATCTTTTTGTATGGAATATCATTTCTATCAGAAGATGACCAAGATATTTCAGTCCAGTGCACATCAGCATTAATGACATTCTCTGGGGTCTAATCCATGTTGACTTTTCTTAATCAACCTTTTTTAAAAAAATAATAAAGTATAAATTAACTGATAGAATACTTGGGAAATGTGATCAGTAAAATAAGTGAGAGTTAACTTGTTGCCAACAGGGTCATTTAAGATAGGACCCTAAAACCATTTCAATCTTTGACAAGCACTGTATGAAATCTTTGGGCCATTGTTATTTTTTTTCTTTGATGAACAAAAGGTCTAGAAATGATAACTACAGTATGTTTCCTGTATATGATTTTTCTGAATTTTTCTCATTGTTAAACTCTAACCCACTGACATCCTTGCAACTTCAAGGACTGATAGCACTATATTTTGTCATGTTTTCTAAAGTTTTACAGAGCTTTTTCCTGGTATTTGTATCTTTTAAAAAGACATTTTTAAATCTCCATCAGTTTGAAGTAAATAATGTCTGAGCATTATAGTAAAGGTCTCTTTCTTAACCTTGTAATGACTGAAGTATTGCTGACTTTTAAATTCATATCTCTGAAACACTTCATTAAGCATCTGAAGACCTACATATCTAAAAGATCATACAATTTCTACCTGTGATTTCTGATGCACCTAGAAAGTGCCCTTTCCTCAGGGAGTTGCTATGGGTCGCGTTTGGGGTTGACTCTTACCTAGAATACATAGCAGCTCTGCAAAGAACAGTCTCTAAAAACAGGAACTTCATTAAAAAGTCCCCATTTTTGTGCCAACTATGATTAGTGAGGGGGAAAATCATATTCCATGGGAGTATTTACAAAAGGGTGTAAAGATTTCTTTGGAACATTCACATTCTGGAACAGCAAATGGCATTTTTTACAGTATTTTTTTGTAAAGCAAACTTTTGTGCCTTGAATTTGGTATATGTGTATTAGTGGAACATTGTAAAAGTGAACTTCTACCTCTGTGTCTATGTATACCATCCACTTGTAAATTACTATGAACTCTTATGTGATTGCTTTTTTTTTAGAATGTCTTGTTTTCATTGTGACCAATGTTTAAGGCTAGTAAAATAAGCCAACTTATTGGGAAGTTTTATAAAGGGCTGATTAAACTTAAAGAATTAACTTACGTAACACTGATTGTGTGCTTAGTAGTTATCCACGGTGTTGGAAGGGAAAAGCATTGTTTGCTTGTTTTTTTTTTCATGCCATATCTTTATTTTAAAAAGTAGCATTTAGGAACAGACGTAACAGGGTGGGGTACCAAACACTCCAATCTCCAATGTTACCATCTACCTAGACTAATACTTCATCAAGGGCTTGGTTATGTTACAACTGGGGAACAGAATCTTCATTACCTGTGTAAGTTTGCATTGAATCCACCTTTGGGAAAGGTCCTAGCTGGCTGCTAAAGTTTCCAACACTGGTCTCCACCCCTCCCCTCTACACACACACACACACACACACACACACACACACACACACCACACACATCTACCATCACAATACTGAGTCTTGATCTCAGAGCAAGAAAACTTTCCTTTAGCTTTTTCACTCAAGGCTGCCACTCTACCAGTTGAGTTACACCTCCACTTCCAGCTTTTTGCTGGTTAATTGGATATAAGAGTCTGACAGACTTTTCTGCCTGGCCGGTTTTGAACCCAGATACTCGGATCTCAGCTTCTAAGTAGCTGAGATTACAGACATGAGCCAACAGCACTTGGTTCTAACACTGGCTCTTAAAAAAGAGCTCCTTTGTTATGTTCAGATCTCTATAAATGATAACAATACCTTGAAGGTAGCCTTATAACCACAGAGGCACTGGCTGCCTCTTAATGTTCAATAATGGATTGCAGCAAGCACTTTGAAGCAGTCTCAGCAATGTAGACTGGGGACAGCAATGCTCAAGTTATCCAGATCTGCCTCCCAGCTAGCTGAAAGCACACAAACCATCCTAATTTAAGGACCACTTATCAACCTTAAAACTAAGGAAAGACCTCTTGATATTTAATTTTATTCTCATGTGTTAGAATCTAAACCTATTTCTGTTGTTGTTTGTTATTGCCTATAAGGTTGTCCATTTCCAAGTTCAAGTTCAATAAACCTAATTCATAGCATTTGGGGCTTTTTTTGGTTTTCATTTTTGTGCTGGTACTGATACTTGAACTCTGGGCCTTGCATTCTCACTTTTTTGCTCAAGGCTTATTTTTTTCTCAAGGCTTTTTTACTCAAGGCTAGCTTCTGGTTAGTTCATTGAAAATAAGTCTCACAGACTTTCTCAGGCTGACTTCAAACTATGATTATGACATGAGCCGCCAGGACCCAGATCAAGTTTTGTAATTCATTCCTATGGCCCAGCCCAGTTAATGTCTTCTGGGGGCTTGCCTTTCAATGTTCTTCTTGGCATCTTTGGCTGTGGAGTTTGAAAAGGGACACAGTCCATGCAAGCTTAGAATTGTGGGACTCCTACATGCTTTACTCCCATATACAACTTAGCTGATTAGTGTAGGTGTTGTTTTTTCTAAACATGAAATATCTTCTAGTCAAGCCCACATACTTTGCTGAACACTTATCTAATTGTATGGTTACTTCTCTGGCTGATGGTTTATCTGAACCCATCCCCACCAGGCACACACACATACAAACTTAACACTAATGATGACTTTGAATTTGTTCTCTTTATTGTCAGCTGGCCCATTCATGTGAATGCTGGAGGCCACTGGAATCAAGGTGACCCCTTGGAGAGCACCACCTCCATCCCCAGCCAGCACTGGCCCTGCCTCTCTAACCTTTCAACCAATTTAATGGTAATCATATTGAGTGGGTCCCAGAAATCAAGTTTCAAAGCCAGCAGAGATGAATTCCAACTATTGTTTTCCCCCTTGATCTACAAGGTTTGCTGCTGCTCTGTCACAGAAGATTAGACTAGCTTGACAGGCCTGAACTACATAACAAGCTGAGTGTCTGTGTGTCTGTGTGTCTGTGTCCCTGTATCTTGGAAGGCACTAGCTTTCAAATTTTTCTGAAGTTTTTTTTTTATTTGTTTTTAAGCAGCAAGTTAAGTGTGTTTTTCAAACTTCTTTTTTTTTTCTAACTCACAGAAATAGTTCTAAATTGATGTTGACTTGAATCTTGGAAATTTGCTTTTGCCTTCAACAAAATTCAAAATCAGCGAGGGTTGGAGGAGTCGGGTAATTCATTCCACACTCAGTTTATTGCCTGTATCTGAGAGTAAGGAGAGCAGGGCTGACATAGACTCAGAGTGGCTCAGACTCAGGCTAGGGGCATCGAGTCTGCCTTCATACACAGGTTAGCAGATACGCCATGCATATGCTAGACCAAAGCACCAAGTAGTCTCAAGTAGTTTGCAGCTAACTCGGGTGCAAATAATGTGAGCCTTTGTGTATACACAGCACATGCCTTAGAGTGTGGCAAGAGAAATCCTAGGGGGAGGTGGGGGGGGCGGGGAGAGAGAGAAATAGCTGCTGAGGTAAGCCTGAAAGTTGGCAGTGTGACTGGTCCAGATCAGAATGAGAGTTTGGCCATCGCAGGGAATGGGTTTTCAGGAACCATCGGGGTTAAAATTATTATTATTTTTTTAAGTCATGGTGGTTGAGGCAAAGCACATGGGAAGATGGAGAGACAATGTCATCCCTTGCCTAAGGTCCTGTCTTCGGAACAGACCTGACACACAGGATGAGGAATGGGTCCTTCATTTGTTACAATGAAACTTTGCTGGTTTGTTGGGGATTTTTTTTGTTTGTTTGTTTGGGCTTTTTTTGGCAAGAAAGCAACTTGATCAGCTGTAAAGAATTCCAGCTGGGCACTGGTGACACACACCTGTCCTAGCTACTTGAGAGGCTGAGATGAGAAGAATGGTAATCCAAGGCCAGACTAGCTGGTGACTCATGCCTGTCATCCTAGCTACTCACGTGGCTGAGATCTGAGGATCACGGTTCACAATCAGCCCAGGCAGGAAAGTCCGAGACCAGAAATGGCACTCTGGCTCAAGAGGTAGAGTTTAGCCTTGAGCTGAAGAGCTGAGGGACAGCGCCCAGGCTGAGTTCAAGCCTCCCCTCCCCACCAACACACACACACACACACACACACACACACACACACACACACAAGAAAGGCCAGACTAGACAATAAAAATAACTTCACAAGAACTCCTTTTAACCAATACGTGTGTACTGTGGCACACAACTGACAAATGTCAGACTGAAATTGGGAGGCTTGTGGTAACAGGAAAGCCCAAGCAGAAAAGTCCACAAGGCTCCATTTAATGGGGTACCTATCATCCAAGCTACAACAGGATCATAATTTAGGCATAGGCTTGCATATGAAACAAGACTATAAAAAATAACCAGTGCAGCTAGGTGCTGGTAGATCATGCCTGTAATTCTAGTTACTCAGGAGGCTGAGATCTGAGGATACAGTCTGAAGCTAACCTGGTCAGGAAAGTCTGTGAGACTCTTACCTTCCAAAAAAAGGGGGTGGGGGTGTGTGGAGATTTCAAGATTCAGGAAAGAAGGCAGATACTGCATGAGTCTTTTGGCTAATTAGTGATGAGAGCCTTCAAGAGGAAAAATAATGAGAATGAAGGGAGAACGCAGACTAAACAGCTAACTTCACAGGTTGAACTTACAAACTCAGGCAACTGGAGAAGCTTATCAACCTGAGAGGGGGCCCATGGTGGCTAAGCAGGAAAACAGAATCCACAAAGAGTAACTCCAGTTTAGAAATGGCTGCCTGACATTGAGCTTTGTCCTCAGGAAGGAGGTGGGTGCTTGGATTCTGGAATCACTTCATAGAAGCTGCAAGTTGAATAAAGCCAGCTGTGGGGAGGCAGAGAGAGTGAGGTAAGATCCAGGGACCCATTCTGAAGACTGTCAGGGAGCCGCTGCCGAAGTCATGAAAGATGACAGAGTAGACTTAGGAGAGGAACTTCCTCCTCCTGGGGAGAAAGCAGACCAGGAACAATGATCTTCTCTGCCTGGATCTAATCCCTTGGCTGACTCACAGTAAAGAAACCTCGGTCTGGCCCAAGAAAAAGAGTCTGTCTGTCCAGCCTAGGGCAGAAGCCCAAAAGGTGAAGGGCAGTGTTAATAGATAGCACATGAAGTCTTTAACCTTGCACTCGGGTTTCTAGTAACTGAAACCATTGTTAAAACGACCAAAGGAAATTTTCTTCCTAAGTGAAACCTGGAAACTGTTGTTTCTTTGGCAATTTTGTTTGCTTGGCCTCAGAAGCATGAATTGCTTAAATGGGAAGGCAACATTTCATGAGAACCCTGGGGGAAAACAAAATACATTTCAAGTATCACCAAATGGATACATGTTAGTTCAAATGAATTCTTTTTCATGTGCCAAAACCATGAGACAGGACTAATTCTTATCAGTCTACTCAAAGAGAGGGGCTCTTATCTGGTCCCTGGAGTACTGAACTCATTGTGGCCAGGTCAAGATAGACATGCCCTAGGTCCCTGAAAATGTCAAGGTAGAGCATTGAGCCAGCTCCAGTATAGCTACTACTTATTATGACACTTCCCAGGGCTTTCGGACCCTATGTTACAATCACTATTCACTTTTCATGACCTGCCTTTCTCTTTTGGAAAGTTCTGTGGACTTAAATAGAGCCACAACTGTGCAGAGAATCCTATTAGCAGAAATAAATGAATTCTCATTTAACTTATTCCATTTTCATCAAAAATTTGCACAATTCTCTTCTAGGAGCTCCTAACAAACTTGTCAGCTGGCCCTGGTAAAACTTTTCTTCTTACTAACCAAAAGGCCAGAGACTTGATTGGCAAGAAAAACAAAGCATCTTCAAGCCAGATTGGAAGTTTGAGGTCTTTGCTGTCAAGGTGATTGAAACCATACTGCAGGGAGAAATGTGTGTGAGCATAGCAGCCTTGGAAAAAAATGCCCCTTTGCCTTGCCCACACATCCTGGGTGGTCCACCTGGGTACCACTCAGCAGGCCTCCCCCTAGAGAGGAGGCCAAGCTGGTTCCTCCATCCCAGTGCTCTGTCTGCATGTACACCAACTCCAGCCATCCTCGTTCATCTGGGGCCTCAGTGGTCCAGATGGCCCCTGGGCAGGTGGGGCTCCTGACTCAGACACTGCACAC